CCTCCGCGCAGGGCAATGACGTATGTGGCCGACAAATGCGCACTCATGAGGACCCAGCCCCTGGATTGAGACACAGCCAATGTCTTGTGACGTCCACGGCCTACCCCAGTTACCACTACTGTGCATGTGTGTCAAGGACAGAAAGGCAGACGTGGCAGTGGAAGGTGTCAAAGCAGTTTGGAGAGAAAAACAAAGTAAAGAACAAAAAAACTGAAAACGAATAATCGATTATTAAATTAGTCATCGATTATTTTAATAATTGATTAGTCGTCGATTAATCGATTAATCGTGGCAGCCCTATGGAGTAGTCGAACACAGTTCCACTGATCCTTCAACACAGAGCATCTTCAGAAGACAAGTTGATAAAATAAATTTTAAAAATCTGTATTGTTTGATACAAGTGTGTATTGAACCTAAAGCACTGTTCGATACAGGTACATGTACTGTTGCACCCCTCTATTGAATATCTTCTTAATAAAACAGGCCAGACCGATCAAGTTTTCTTTACAAACATTAACATGCTGCTARATATTTTTAACACTAACGTTGGTTGTATTCATGTCTCAGCTACTGTTTGTTCATTTTGTTTGGTACCAGATAGAAACGTGCACGTGGGGATGATTTTAAGGGTTGTGATCAGCATTTAATTTATTTTCTTGAAACTGCACAGTTGAATGAATTTGCAGCTCATCAGTGTTAAACGTGATCGCCAAGTCAGAATGTTGAGTTTAAGGGTTTATTGTTTTCTCTTTTTGATTGTTTTATGAAATGTTCATTGGAATTATTTTTATTTTGTGTTATTCTGTTTAGGAGATTTTTAATTTTACTCATTTGAACCTTCTGACTTAATTCTGAAACTTAAAGCCCTAATGCAGTAYGATAACTTCCTGTGTCAGCTTGTTATCAATAATTAGTTTGCACAGTTGCTTCTTTTTCCTCCCCTCTTTACTCCGAGCTGTAGAGAAACTGCCCGACATCCTGTGAAGTCTTTTCTCTGAATTATACTGTTTGTTGACATTTGCATCTTTCCTTGAAAGAGGATTTTTTTCAATCTTGTCAAAGCCATAACTTGTCATCATGTTTGTAAATGTGGTGTTTCATTAGGACACTTTTCTATAGAATTTTTAGGCACATTTCAAAACCAACCCTAGTTTTTTAAAACTGTTGATACATAACAGTTGTGTGCATGTTAAGGTCATGGTTAAGAAAACATTGGTTAGTAAATATGAGTATTAAGTTTTCTTCTGTGCTGTAAGTTTTAGTAAGTTGTTCCTTCAGAGGCCGGTAGAGACCACCACCAGGTAGAGACCTCCACCAGGTCTTGTACTATGAAGCAGGATTAGTGTCTGTTTTCAGCATCAACCAAGCTGTTACCTGGGTCTGTTACTGCAGTGGTTCCCAACCTTTTTAGACTTATGAACCCCTGAGACATGTTGTCATACCACTAGTGCCCCCTCTGTCAAACATAATGATGATTCTCCAAAACTATAATGTACAAGTG